TCTTACTCTATGAAAATCAAGATGAAGATAAGTTGGATTTGGGATCACGGATCTAAACGCATCAGAGAAGTTATCCAAACTGGACATTCATGGATTATCAGTACCGAATGAAGACAAATGACACGAGATGTTGAAATTTCACTTAATCTCATCAGTCGTTGACTTAAAACAGGCAGACACAGATATAGCACATGTGGTTATTCAATTGTAGTGATTGAAAGTGTATAAGCACACAGATTACTAAATAAAGTAGTAGAAGGTCAAATCCAGAGTAAAGTGATTCACTGAGTAGAAAACTTTTGTGCACATAGGGTCGGGTGATGTAATCGAATGAGCAACGCCTCTTCAATAGTCAAAAAAATAGTATTGCAATTCCGTAGTAGTTGTTTTAAAAGACAAATTAAGGCCAACTCTGCTACGCCGTCAGGAGATATTCTGGAACGGACGATGAGGGATTCCTTGTGATCCCTNGATCCCTCGATAATTGGTTATCGGTTCTTCAAAACAACCCTCCAGAAGACAAGAGAAAGAACCACTTGGTTCGCTGCCACGGTATCGGTTATCTGTACTTCTCATACAATCATACGGACACATCACAATCTTACATCTGTGACATTTAAACAAACACCATATTATGTTCCATCGCTGAGGATGAAGTACCAGATTTCACCGAGAAAGATCGATAATTTGCAAACACCTGTTCAGTTTGAATAACTTTTATCCGTGAAAAGAACTTTCTGCTGCATCAGCCGAAGATTCCTGGTGGGTTTGAGCGAAACTGGTGGATGTTTTCCATTGCTACCTTAAAATATCGATTCGAAAATACTGCTGTTTCACTCGAGAGCACTATGAAACAATGAAAGAGCTCAAAAGAGGGACAAACCTCAAAGTTCTGAAGCCGGACAAAGGATCCGGAACGATCATAATGACAAAAGACACTTACCAAAGTGAACGTTGTACTTTCGTATGCTAGGAAATTCCAAATCGGCAAAACACCCGAGAAAAATCATCTCACTAAATGCCTTACCACAAGAAAGCTAGAGGCCCAATAAAAACAATTGCAGCCAAAGGGAACGGAAACACCACATCACGTGGCGGAGTAAATCTATACTCTGAAAGCTTAGCTGAATTTGATTCATTTTAGATTTAAAGATCACCTTAAGAAACTGGTGTAAGTATCACCGATGTTTCTATCTTATCATAATTCACTGGTCTCTGCAATTGGAAAACTCTTAACATCTATTCCAGTACAAGGCAATTGCCGTTCCCAAACGGGTATGAACCAAACTTCTTTCAGACTCGTGTTAGACATATAGTCACACGAGCGCATTCCATCATCCTGGAGCGAATCATTGATTGTTCCAGTTTTTAAAAAGGGATCTCGTAACGATTGGGACCGTGGAATAAGTTTGATATCAATCATCGCCATGTTATTAGCCTCCATCATAGTTTAACATCTGATACCGTTTGGGCAAACAAATGCGCGAACAACAAGCAGTATTTCGACTAGGTCACGATTGTATCGATCAAATCTTCACTCTGCATCAAGTCTTTGAGCTTCTCCATGCGCACCATCGACCAACGGTTGATCATGAATCCCTTATGGGTTCGCTCTTCCTCAAAGGAATACCGCAGAGGTTCAATCTACTCGGTAATTCTGATAGCGTAACGGTCTATGGGGAGTTGAGTAGGTTAGGACACGTTTTTCGTCTGTCCGACGGTCGATTACCTCAGCGCGCCTTATTCGCAGTAGCTGCTGCAGGCTGGAGAAAGATATGTGGGGGTCAGCAAATGACGTGGAGATGGGGCATGAAGAAATGCACAGAGCGATTAGGTAGAGTAAGTGTCTCTCGTCTTCCGGGTTGGGTTCCAAAAGACTCCAAAACCGCATGGTTAGAGTCACTGGAGCTCATGGTTGCGAACCGACAGCAATGGTAATCATGCTGTCACTTCTTTTCAGACGACAATGCTTGAATAGTATGTACGCACGGTTGCACTGTGTACTTCGTATGCTGACCATTGAGGTTTGCTTTCTTTTCCCGTCCCTATCCTCCTTACACATTCTCACTTACCTTGTATGCAATATGAGTTTGGCAACAATCAGTGAATTTCGCAACACTGTACTACGCCGTACAATGAAGATGAATGACCGTACCCCGTTTTTATATCACAGACCCTCCTCACAAATTCAGTCAAACACGTTCGCCATGAAACAGAACTTGCTCATTCGTATCTGGTGATCCCACATATCAACTTATCCTACTTTAATCCTCACAGGCCCATTTTCGAGCGAACTTCAGATTTCTCCGTTCTGAGAAACCAACAACCACCAGCTTCCCAACAGACCTGTACAGTGCGTGTCATAAACGAGAGTGCGACTTTGGAATAACCGTATCTATCAATGGACTATTTCTCAATAGTTATGATGGAATCGATCATTGCTCCACACAATTAGGTTTTACGCATTGACCCTATTTCTCACCTGTGTTCACATTTCTCACGTGTATTATATACCGTGGAAAGGCTAATATTACTTAATTCAAGCCAAATAATCGAATCACTTATCCACATATAATTTTTCCATCAAATATTTGCAACGAGTCCATCTAAAGTAACACTAGACCGAGCACAATTTTAAAAACCAGCACATAATCCCTGAAGATTTTAACCTTCACAGCACAGGAGGATTTGCAAACGAAACTTCTCAGAAGAAATGCAGAATCTTTCACTCGTCTCGTTAAGATGAATTATTACTCACTGAGTACCTGAATTGTTATGGCAACTGTACCCGAACAGTTTTTATCTTTTTCTATCTGAACCTATCGGGCCGCGAGCAACGAACAATGTGAAGGGTGCGAGGTACAGATATTCACGCGCGAAGCTCAGAAATCTAAGTGTGGATTCGTAAAGATACGCATGAATATCTAACACCTATAGAGAATCAATCATACAACTTCTTAAAAGGAGCACAGAGAAATCAGAACACCTGAAATGAATGAAATAAGAATATTGTGGTTGCAGAATCTGATAAAGGTGTACCAATTGCTGTACTAAGCACAACAGATTATGTTTTAAAGATGTATGAACTCTTTTCGGGGACAACAATAAGTTTACGTAGGTTAACTGAGAGAATGATAACCCTTCCGATGTAGTGAAAGGAATATCTCAAGGGATAAGATAACTAACCATAACACGATGTTATAACTGACTCGTTCACCCATTCAAGAAATATATAGAGCCGTCAAGACCACAATACCCCTACTAATCGGGTGATCTGAGGTCCACAAGGCCGGCGTGTCGCTACAATCCATTTCGGATATTAGTAATTCGCTCCGACAAAGTAGCTAGTCGATCTACTGGAGTAAATCAGATTCAGTCTACGAGGCTCCTTCGATTTTGACAAACGCATCGAACCCACCCAGATGATCAGAAAGCGATGTTCTCGTCGGAGGTTACCGCTGTTATACGCGGTGACCATGATGTTCAGCGGAATTAGATAGCGAATTTGGGAAAAGCCAGTGGACTGCCTGCGATTACCTCAAGCGATACAGAAACTTGAGAGATGATAGAGACGTAGGGTGGATAATAAGCATAAAGGAGATGGGGCAAATCGCTACATCTGGGAAAGACCGGTGGCTTTTCCAGCTCAATCATATTGCTGGCTAGAAGTGCTGCGTTACTGGAAGAGGTTGCGAAGCAAACGGCACACCCACATACAATCGACGCTTCAAAGGCTAGGCGAAACAATGAAGAGGAAGCTTGTCTACCTCTCCATTTCATTCAGGGGAGATACGGTTGCGAAAATGTTGACTAGACAGATTGAACCGTCAACCAGCGGCACATATTTTGCAGCTGAACCACACATTCTATTCACGTGCAACCCCTAAATCCTGATATAGACAAAAGACCGACTGCAACCGAGATGAGGCCTCGTTTTGCGTTTACCGATCCACCTGCTCTCAAGGTTTAAGCTTTGTAGACGGAACGGTGAAGCGCCTAGATCACAAAAAGGAGCACGACCCTAGTTCTTTGAATCATGAATCGACAACTATGATCTATTGAACTATGGCAAATACTAACCACCTTCATGGATCTAATCAAGCGGTCAATCTGCATCTTAGACTTTCTGTTGTTTCCACAAGGTCAAAGGAGGGTTATATAAAGAGGTTAAGCCCCTAGCTAAGCCATGAACTGAGTCGATAACAAGATGGCCCTAGATACAAACCGATTTTGTCGCTCCAGATACAGTTAGTAAGAAGGCTGGTCTCACTATGGCCATCAACTAACAATCTGGTGACGTAACCTACGCCAATACACTCTGTCATTTCACCTACTCACTCATTCAAAACTATCTGCCCATCTTTCACCCACAAAGACGTCAAACATACCATTTTTTATAACATACTTCAGTGTGATGAATTATCAGATGGGGGAAATCCTCGAAGTTACGAGGACCTGCAGTTCAGTGATGGTAACCGATCACCTAAGCCCCGGGACTTGGAGTGGCGAACCACATAAGACTCTGCTAAGTTGGTATTGAGCGGAACGACAGCAACGCTGCCTGCCACCATAATAGGGTGGCGGAGCTCGAACCTCGGAACATACGGTTGAAAGCACGCCGGTGACAGTGAATAAACCTCTAGGCCACCACAATATTACATGGTCCTACTGCAAACTCTTCATTCTTTCCCACCTTGCACCAAAGGTTTGGTTAACTGTAAAATGTACTGCATGTTCAACCAGTTGGATGAAAAAGTATTGAAAATAAGCACCCTTGCTAAACTGTGTTCTCATCAAATATGTATTACAAATCGGCTCAAAGCATACGGTTGTGAAAGCAAAAGAGACAGAAAAAGACAGCTGATTGAGGCATGACAAATTGAGAAGCAATATCACACCGAATGTTTGAAATTCGTACAATATGTACATGATTGGAGGCATATCCACGTATTAGGGAGAGAGTGGGGCTCAGGGGTCTTGGACGTATGTGCTCTCAATTTTCACTGGTGGAATAATGTAATTAGCGCCGAAGTCCACAGAATCCGCAGACCGACACTGGCGAACGGTGCACCACGGGCGTATACATCCAACACAGCCGGGTTTGCATAAGGATTGCGGCCATCGTCCCAGGACATTGGACACACATCGAATTGCAACTCATCCTCGATCAGTTCTAGAAGCAATGAGGCACCCTCTTCCGGCAACGATGATTCGGCTGTTTGCATTTTTGAGCATTGATTTCCACGTCCACGAGACATCAGATAGTTACGAAATCCAATGCGTTTATAGACCCAGCAACGGAAATTGTTGGTCACCTGGGACGTGGAGAATGGACATTCGATTCAATATACTAACAGAAACAGATGACTGATAAGAGAAAAACGAATACAGCAACCAAGTTTAGAAAAAAGACTGGTATTTAGAAATATTTTAACAATTTTACTATAAACACAACTGACAGCGGACGCCAATTTCACTGTGGAACATCTTAGACATCCCCAGGCACGAGTGGCACGGTTGCGACAATCAGAAAAGACCGTGAGAAAGCGGTTTCACAGTGGTATAAATTCGTTGAAATAATCAGTCATTTTTGTGCCAGCAACCAGGACTCCGATAACAAAACACTTCCTGATGGACGTGAAAAACCTTAGCCTTCAGCTGCAACTTCGATGGTTTAGTGGCTTGGAAGGTTTACTGATCGATTTAAACAAGAAATACGAATTCATAGTTGGTTTTGGAGGGAAAAGAATCTGTTTGTAAGTAAAGGACGAAACCCCATGTGCAGTAGTGGCATTCTCGAGTGACTGCGTTTTAGACTTTCGGATAGTAGCAATTATCTGTTACCCAAAAAATCCTTATGGGCTGCACCTTGATATGCTTAGGTCCCTTCAGAATCTTGCGCGCTATGCAGGAGGACAGAAGGAAAAAATCATATCGCAACGCTGCACGATTTAGGGCCAGGATGATTTCGGTACATCTCAACATGATGCATACTGCAGTAAGTGCAGTGTTTATACAGGGCTTCAGCATGGCGAAACAGGAAAAATACATTGAAAAAGACTGAAGGGGAAGGGGCAAAAACATAATATCACCAGGGTAGCGAAAAGTAAACAAATTTCTCTTTTGTTGACACACGGGAGGGATTTCTATAACAATCCCTTCGGCAAACCTTACCAATCTTGGGATTCGTGACTTGTAGACAATCCAATCCAATCCGTGCTCTGGTCGATCGGATGTGGCGTCAGTAACAGTTGTCGAGCCATGGCTGTTGACGTGGTCTTGGAGTTTCAACCATCGTTTCTATATGGTGGACGTGACCTCGATCGGACTTTGGACCCACTTTGGAATATGTTAAGCTACCTGATTACGCAATTGTCGCTCTGTTGTGCCTAGGTAGGTCACTCCGCACACACATTGGAATTAGTAGATTAGGTTAGTGTTGTCGTATCGAGGCAGACGTTCATTTGTCGGGGATGTGGGTATTCTATAACTTTTTAAGATTTTTTTGAGAAACTGTCACTTTGATTTGCTAAACAGCCAATTTGAATTGGGAAAGAAACGCTGGGGTTAGATCAGCTTCCGTTCAATGCATCTCACTGGTGGATTGATCAGACGTTTTTTCTGCCCCCAGATCGACAAATTTTCTTCCCACGCTCTTTCGTTGCTGAAATGAGGCAGACCTCAGTCTTGCATCTTGTCGAGCTTGCTGATGGATGTCAATTCAGTGGATCAATGAAGCCGTGCGATTTGCTCGAGACACCGGACTCGATAAGCACGAAGGGGTTTAGGGTAGACGATGTGGGGGTCAGCTGCATTATACGTTCGAGTGATCGATGATTTGTCATTTCTTGAACAGGCGGCTTACGTCATCACCTTTGAATTAAAAGCACAGCATGACTCGTAATTTTGTTACTTGTGCAACCGGTTCTTTCACAATTCTCGATTTGATGTGCTTATTAACAAACACTCCGAGGGAAGCGTCTTTTGCTAACATCTCACGAAGGATTTGAAGTTCTTGTTCGATTCGGTCTTTCTTGCATATTCGCCTTGTTTTGTCAGACAAGGTCCGAACAAGACCACGTTTATACTCCAGAGGCAGAAAGCTCTTGAAGTGTAGACAACGGCCTCTCTAGGTCTTCTCTCGATAAATGGATCAATAAATTGCTTTATCTTCTCTTCTTGTCATGCTGGTGTCCAAGAAATTGAGTGCTATTTTGGTTTCAGGTTCAATTGTGAATCAGATATTTGGATGTAGTTCATCCATAATTACCACAGCTTCGTCTAGGGTTGTCATTATAATCAGGGTGCTGCCAAGGTATTTTTTGTATAGGACAGCGCGTCTCAGAATAATAGTTGCCTCTTGTTCCAGGTTTGCCATAAACAGGATGGCTGTCAAAGCTGCAGATCTGGTCATGTGTGGAAGGCTAAATGGTAGAGGTCAGACAAAGCTCAATCTCACAAGGCTATCTGCTTTAACCTCTCTCAGCTAAACTTCACTATCCAGTCTAGTCTCTGGAGAGGTTACTCCAGCAAAACAGCGCTAAATGCACCTTGAGCCCGATTACCTGGGAATTCTTCTCGACGGCGGAAGAGGTCTCCGCACAGCATTGAACAGCTACCGCTTGCCCAATCTGGTTAGCCTCCACATCCGGGTTGTCTGTCTCAATACGTGCATGAGACTGAGAGCCGATTTCAAACGGTGAACCGACAATCATCATACCAGTGAACAAAAGAATAAACCTCGAAGGCCTTGCTTCCTCATGGGTGCTTCGGTCACGTCCCCAGATTTAGCCTACTTCCCCCCCCCCTCAATAACTTGCATCAAAGGTGGATCATCAGAGAAAAACCTTTACCGATGTGAGCCACCGTAAAGTATACTGTATTCGAAAGTTTTGTGGTATCACCACATTTTCATTTATTGTATGATATTTCATAGTGTTTATGGATTACCGTTTTTCATCACAACTGATGTACATATTATCAAAATATCAATAAGCGTTTTGGATTTCTCTGGTACAAAGACCAACGCGTTGCAACTACCTCTGTTTATCATGTGTGTTGATGTAGACTAGAGTAACCTCTGAAGGTCGGTTCAGATCGTATACATTTGTATTTCGAGCGTCTAGTTGTTCGCTCATTGTAGCCACCTTCATCTCAAATCGGAGACTAATATGTTTACCAGGAGAGTACAGTAACTTATTTGGTTGCCTTTCTTGACCGTTACAGTCTCATTTTGCCTGGAAAGGTTTTCTAATTACACTACAACTTAGTCTTAGTCTGTCCGATTGAGCACACAAGCGCCCTATCTGGAAAATCCCGGCAAACAGCAGGAATAAAAACCAATCAGTTAAGGGAAAGGATATCTTTCCTTTATAAGCACCGATAGCTGAAACCACCGAATATTGCGACAATATCCAAAATCATAAGGTTTGGTGAGCCGCTTGTCGTGCTAACTCAAGCACCTTTCGAAGTAACTGACTCTCTCACGGTGTTTTCTAATGTGTAGACCCTATTTTTCACTCTAAAATTGACTTTTCCCCATTATTTTCCCCACTTTTTCAATTATCTTTTATAAAATTTAAATTTCCGAATTTTCGCGCCAAGAAAGACTCTTTCCGCATCACCGGCCATCCTGTCCCCTGATTGGTCCGTTTTTCTCTGACTCGTCACTTTTGAGCTAATTTACAAGGTCACTGACGGACGGTCCCCAGTTTGTATATAAACGGTTGAGCTGTCCAATCTCATCGCCTTTTCCGGGTCGAGCCAAATATACAACCTCGCCTGAAGGCCTGCCTTCCTCTTCCTTCCTGGTCGGGTTCCGGGGATAGTACGGGTCCGCGGGTCGCTACTATCGTTACCGTTGTTGGCCGTGTCGCTTTTGGGTACCGCAGTTGGGCACCTCGGGATCGCTACTCCACCGCTGGGTCGCACGGTTCCTTCAGTTCACGGGTCTACACATATCGCTGGTCGGGTCCGTACGTTGCAACATTTTCGCAATACAAGTGCAAAGGGGGGAAACCTATCTGAAGAAACAAATCAGGATATTGACTGGCCTAATAGTCCACGCTAGAAAGGGTGGATAGAGTAGGAGTGAATACTCCAAGTTACCAATACCTAGTACCGTGAACACAAACCTACATTAAGAATAGGTGGACTGCAGATGGCAGTAAGTTTCCAGCATGTTAAACCTTCCGTTTTTAGGCAATTAATTCCACCCTAGTTTGCTATTCACGATTGCAAGTTATCTACCTAACTGTTCATTTCCAGACCACTGAATATTTGCGGTAGAACATGCCATCAGTTCAAAGCTAATGGTCTCAGCCTGGAGTAAAAGGCATGGGAACCAAACATCCACACTTAGCAAATGAATCGGATCGTTCGGCCCATTCGTTGCAACAGATAATTGGGAATTTAAACATCCAAACCGGTGAGGAAAAAAATTGCTGACCAATCATTTTTCAAATCCATAAAGCAATCTTGAGTTCGTATCACGGCACTGGTTAGTTTCATGCGCATAGAACTCGCGGATCAATCAGTCTGCAACCTGTCCGGGAAAAACAGCTCTCCGGATAGGGCCTCCGGTGTTCATACAAGCTATCATGGAACTACACGAAACTGTACGTGACAACGGATCCATCTAAAAATATGGATAAGGTCCTCAAAGATACACTCGTGCTTCAGTCATACGCTCCAAACAACAAGGTTCATGACTGCTGCTTAACAACGCAGTCAGCGGAACAAAACTCACACATAAAAGAAGAGAATCAACATACGAGTAGATTTTCAATATAGATGTCACAGAATCCACTAATGCAGTACTGGAAACCGCTATTTACCGAAAAATAACTCAGGTACCTTACTTGGTCAACAATCATCTGATAGCACTCAGAACAAGTTATGTAATCACCTTTTTCAGAGCTAGGGCACATGGCATAACCAAATCGCTATACAAGATGGCTTATTTTTAACTCGTCAGTTCGCGACGGTCACCAGACAAACAACATCGTTCTACGCTATATTTCTCTCACAACCTCCAACCAACAGGAACGGCTACTCATCAGAGTGTGGTGTCTACCGCGGAATGGCAACAATACGGAGGTATCAGAGACAGTCCGGTGCTCATTTGGGGGATTAAGGGCTAACACCAAAAGTGATTTGCAAAGAAAGTGTAGCAACTTTCATTTATTTTAGCATTACACAAACAGGGAAACTGTGGAAAACAAGTGGCAAATCCTCCGAAAGAGAATTTGAATGCATCAGCATTTGTAATTTGACTACTATGAACATTTAAGTAGTCTAAGTTTAAATGACAATATCCATTGACTGCGCTCCACTGAATATTTATTGCCAAATGTCATAATACCAAAGTTACCACTGTTCTACTTTTCTGTGTCTACAGCTGTAAACTTCTGTCTTGGTTTGACTGAATCACAATTTTACACGTCATTCTGTACCGTTACGCTTGAAATTGTCTGTACGCTGGTGTCAAGTGACCTAGACGTAAGCCTGCTTGAATTTATCGTTTATTGAGTGATCACCCTTTTTTCTGTAGAATCACGGTTAACGTAGAAATAAAGCGCCTCAGTCCTTACTGTGTTTTCTTCCTCCACCCAGGCCGTGCGCGAGACTAGCTTTGACAACTTCCAGTTTACCGCCGCCATCGCCCATTTTTTCCACACAAGTATCCGCGAACGTAAGGTATCGACTGAGCGTCAAAAATTCAACCCATTAATCTTGTTCAAGTAAAAACTATCCC